ACAGACATTCCTAGAAGCACGGCATGTGGCGATTGGGAGATCATGGTGGCATTGGGCCAGATTCATGCCGTGGAATGCCGATTCTGGGACCGGGAAACAAGCACAGACTGGTGGGACTGCATAGTGTTGCAGGTCTGGGATGATTCCCAGTGGCTGCGAAACTTTCGTATGCATAGGGCCACTTTCATGGAACTTTGTGACTTGCTGTCCCCTGCGCAAAGACACCAAAATGAGAGCAGCCCTCACAGTTGAGAAGCGAGTGGCCATAGCACTGTGGAAGCTTGCAACGCCTGACAGCTACCGGTCAGTCAGTTTGGAGTGGGCAAATCTACTGTAGGGGCTGCTGTGCTGCAAGTAGCCCACACAATCCATTGACCAGCTGCTATCAAGGGTAGTGACTTTGGGAAATGTGCAGACCATTGTGGATGGCTTTAATGAGCTGGGGTTCCCTAACTGCGGCGGGGCGATAGACGGAACGCATATCCCTATCTTGGCCCCGGCACACCGGGGCGGCCAGTACATAAACCGCAAGGGTTACTTTTCCATGGTGCTGCAACCACTGGTGGATCACAAGGAACTTTTCACCGACATCAGCGTGGGATGGCTGGGAAAGGTGCATGATGCTCGCATCTTCAGGAACTCTGTCTGTTTGTACAGCTGCAGGAAGGGACTTACTTCCCAGACCAGAAAATTACTGTTGGGGATGTTGAAATGCCTATAGTTATCCTTGGGGACCCAGCCTACCCCTTAATGCCATGGCTCATGAAGCCGTACACAGGCATCCTGGACAGTAGTAAGGAGCAGTTCAACAATAGGCTGAGCAAGTGCAGAATGGTGGTAGAATGTGCTTTTGGACGTTTGAAAGCTCGCTGGCGCAGTTTACTGACTCGGTTAGATCTCAGCACAACCAATATTCCAATTGTAATTGCTGCTTGTTGTGTGCTCCACAATATCTGTGAGAGTAAGGGGGAGACGTTTATGGCGGGTGGGAGTTTGATGCAACCTGCCTGGCGGCCAATTTCGCACAGCCAGACAACAGGACGTTGACAGTTGTGTGTTTCTCTTGAAGTTACCCGCCCCCTATATGTATGAAAGGAAATAAAGTCAAAATTGTTTAAAAACTGTTCTTTATTATTTGTTGCTCTGGGGAGTAGGTGAGAGGAGTCTCATGGCCTTTCCTACCCTGTACACTCTATCCTTCTCAGATTTTACGTTTCCTGGAACTCTCAAAAGTGTTTGTAGTCTGTACTTTAAAAGCCCTTGAAAATTTGGTTTTCAGTGAGTGAGTAGAAAAACTGAATTGCTAAGTCAGCAGCACTTGGGCATCCCCATCCTTCCTAGCTGTAGGTTGGGCTAAGAAATCCCCTGTGGAAGGTGTGCATGGGTGGAAAAAATGTCTGTGCTCATAACTGCATGATGGCTGCCCTAGTTTCCTTCAAACTTGCCTTGTTTCTTAGACTCCAGTAAGATCCACAAACCAAACCAAGTCTCAATAATAATTCCACTGTTGTTGAGCTGTGTTCACAACGTTTCTCAACTGAACACACAGGAAAAGTATATTTTTGTACATACATGGTTTGAACAAAAACAGTGGAACAGCCTTTGCTGTATCTTTTCCAGGGGACAAGAAAGTGTATGTGGGGGATGCCTGTTGGCACAGACCAAACTCTGGAAAATTTTGGCCCCAAAGGAATTTGTTTTGAGAGAGTTTGTCAGAAACCGTTAAAAGGGGGAGGGGAGAGGGTTATATTGGAAGTTGCATTTCAGCCTTAACTCTAGTGGTTGCTACCACTTCTGCTATAAATAGAAAATAGTTGTCTGCCAAATTTCCGTTTTTAATGCCTTTTTTGACTTGGTGTCAAGCCAAATAATATCTTAATTTGTACATCTACTTATTTTCCCTTTACACGTAGCTTAAAACTGGCCACTCTGATTTAATTTTTCTTTAGATAAAAAGTACAAAATGAAAGTGAGAGATAGTTTTATGTAGAATTTCATTGAGGAAATAATTTCAAGGGTGTATGAAATTCTGTCATAATAAAATTTAACATGCAACAGTTAAGGTTGCATCAGTATTTCTTAACTGCAAAACTAATGTCATGTGTTTAGCAATTTGTCATCTTGATGGCATATTTCAAACATCGACAAATTTGATGAAAGGCTGATATCTTGTACATAATTTAAACAATGTATAATGGCTAGATATTTCCGCCAGGTTGTTAAGGAAAGTAGTTATTTATTTATGTATAGCTAAAAAGTAGTGCATGTGCACATGCATATGTGTGTGATATATAATATCTCCCTCTCCCTCACACTACACATTCTCCGAGGACCTGATGCTGCAAGATCCATACAGGTTCAGGGTGCACCCATGTGGAACTGCTTGCAAGATTGAGGCCTCAGGCAGTAGCCAAATTTGGGGCAGGAACCAGGTGTATCTGTGTTTTGCACAGTACTTCGTTCAGTAGGGGGTCTGGTCCTGATTGTGGCGTCTGGACACTAATATAATAAGTATTTAGTATATGAATTTATGAACACTGTTCAGGCTGTGATAGAAAGGGTCATGTAGAAGTGTTACCTACAAGAGGGTGGCTGGCCTAGTGGTTAAGGCACTGGACTAAGACTTGGGAGGTATGGGATCAGTTTCCGTGCTACCTATCTGTGGTCCTGGGCAAGGCATTTAATCTCTCTGTGCCTGTTCCCCATCTGTCAAATGGGGGTAATAATACTTTCATTTTACCACCCTTTGCCTCTTTCCTACTTAGATTGTTAGCTCTTTGGCACAGGGACTCTCTCTTATTCTTTGTACAGTGCCTAGAACAGAGGTGGGCAAACTATGGGGCCCGCGGGACCCTCCTGCCCGGCTCCTGAGCTCCTGACCCAGGAGGCTACCCCCGGCCTTCTCCCCTGCTGTTCCCCCTCCCCCGCAGCCTCAGCTCGCTCCGCCGCTGGCACAATGCTCTGGGTGGTGGGGCTGTGAGCTCCTGGGGCAGCGCAGCTGCAAAACCCGGCCTGACCCGGTCTCTGTGCTGCACGGTGGCGATGGCGTGGCTGGCTCCAGTCGCGCCGCCAGCCACTGGTGCTCCAGGCAGCGCGGTAAGGGGGAGGGAGGGGGATAGAGAGCTGGGAAGTTCGGGGTGGGGGTGTAGATAGGTGTCGGGGTGGTCAGAGGGTGGAGAACAGGGGGGTTGAATGGGGGCAAGGGTGCCAGGGGGCAGTCAGGAAGGATTGGGGGTTGGATGGGGAGGTGGGGTGCCCTCGGGCAGGGGGGCCGGGGGGGGAGTGGGGGCAGGGAGAAGGGGTGATTGGATGGTGCAGGGGTCCCCGGGGGGCAGTCAGGAAGTGGGGGTTAGATGGGGTGGCGAGGGGCAGTCACGGGACAGGGGGCAGGGGTTCCGGAGGGGCCGTCAGGAATGAGAGGAGGGGTTGGATGGGTTGGCAGGGGCAGAGGTTCCGGGGGCGGGCGGGGGAGAGGGGGTGTGTGTGTGTGTGTGTGTGTGTGTGGGGGAGGGGTTCTGGGGGGGCCATCAGGAGTCTCATGGAGAATTTCAATTTTGTGAAAAGGGCATATTCTGTCCAAAAAAAAAAAAAAATCATTCCAATGGAACTCTCCCACCAGCTTTACACTTTACTGCTCTCTCATTTTCTCCATTTGCAGAATGGATGTAGTAGTACTTATCCATCAATCTCAACATTTGGTGGTTGAAAATGCAACAAATAGGTCCTACTTAATTTTCTTTTCTTTTGAAAGATTTCAGAGAGATTCTGTATTCTTAACATAGTAACTTTTAAAATGCAACCACTGAACAAGTGCTAATTATATTATTACTGTTTACTGTAAATATTTACAAGTATTCATATATGTAATGTATTCAAGGCACAAATGACCCTTTTTTCTCCATTGCAGTCCATTGTCTTCTGTTTGGGAAGATGGGTTGTTTCAAAACTGTTGAAATTATATTATTTGTAGACCTGCTTTGTGTAAATTAATGGTAATTTTAATACACTAAGAATAATTTTAAACTTTTTCCTATGGTATAATGATAAATACATATTTTAGTTTAGAAATTTGGTGAATTTTTGTTTGTTAGGATTGATGACCCTGATTTAAGTCAGCTAGAAAGTAGATGTTTATTTCTCCATGTGGTTTTTCCAGTTATCACCTAGAGTGATTGTGTTGTTCCAGTCCAGAGCAATGTTCCCTCAAATTTTTTACGTCCATGTGCGGGAATGAATTTTGTTATGTGCACTAATATGGAGGTGATGTGTGGTGGGGGTGGGGCTGAGGGGTTCGGAGTGTGGGAGGGGGCTTAGGGCTGTGGCAGAGGGTTGGGGTGTGGGGGGATGAGGGCTCTGGTTGGGGGTGTGGGCTCTGGGGTGGGTCTGGGGATGAAGGGTTCAGGGTGCAGGAGGGTGCCTAGGGCTGGGACAGAGGGTTGGGGTGTGGGGGGGGTGGGGGCTCTGGGGTGGGGCCGGGAATGAGGGGTTTGGGGTGCAGGCGGTCCCAGGGCTGCGGCGGGGAGAGAGGATTCCCCCCAGCCCTCTCTTGTCACAGCAGCCCGCGACCAGGTAAGAGGTGTCTCTTCCTGCAGGGGCAGTTCCGGAGCTGGGGCTGGGGGAGAGGCGCCTCTCCCCACCTGTGTGGCCCTTAGTAGCCTGCTGCGCCGCCACGCAGCTTAGAGGGGACTTTGGTCCAGAATCTCTCCTTGATAAAAAACTTACTGTGCCTCAGTTTCACTATCTGTAGAATGGGGATAATTATATTTATCTCCTTTGAAAAGTGCTGTATAAGAGCTGGGTATTATTATGATGATGATGATGATTATTTTATTTATTTTATTATCTATTTATTTGTTTGAGCCGCAGTCTCTCAGGATGACATGCTTATTCCTTAATTTAGCAGTTTGTCAACTTTTGTAAAACTGCTTGTTTAAAAAAGAATGTTCTAAAAGATACTACAATAAAATATTATGTATTTTAATTTTATGTATATATGTTAGGCTTACAGAATTTGAAGATACACCAACAAGTCAGCTAACGATAGATGAATTTATGAAGATTGACTTGGAAGAGGAGTGCGATCCTCCTTCATTTACTGCTGGTCAAAGAAAATTAAAGATACAGGAGGTGAATTCTATCAATACTTTGTATTTGGAGCTGCTTATGGTTCTGTCTTTTCAACTTTGGACTTGATAGTGTGCCATGCCATGACTGACCAATTTAGCCTTAGCTATTGCTGTTTCTACCACCATATTCTCATGGGGAGGGTGGGAGGCATAGGTGGTAGTGTCCACAAACAAAATTCTATTTTTTTCTGTACTGGCTGGGAGATAGCCACACATTAAAACCAGCCACATGTTAAAAGGTGCAGTGAGATTTCTTCCTCGCCATTTTCACTAACTCCTCCGGAGAATCAGACTCATTCAGATTCTTGTCAATAGTAGCCGTAAAAGTCTCCTGTTGAGGGCCCAAAACCATATCTGCAGTCTCTCCAACCACTGCAAGAACAGGGAAAAGGGCAAAGTCACTGCTTAGCCCATTACAAATCCAGGGAAGTTGGTGATCAAGTAGTATGGCAACAGCTGTACTCCTGTTCTTAGTAAAAGTACTTATTTTCGCAAGGCATTTACTGCTGAGCACCTAATTTTTATATTGTGGATTCAGGGTTCAGTACCCCAGGACCAGTCTTCATTCCCATTGGGAAGGCGATGCTGTGCCCATTGGGTGCCAGATCTCCATTCTGAGTATGGTTCTCTCTTAACTACCTTTTTGTAGTTGCTTCCTGTCTCCCTGCTCTGCATGAGTCTTTCCACTATGCTCGGCACCTCGTACTAGTGTCAAGACTCTTTTTCCTTATGAAATTGGGGCCTCTCATATGACTGGCTAAGCTGATTTTGTTGCATGTGAACCTTGAGGAGCTGCCTGATATTTTTGCTCCTCTCATATGTGCTACATTCACTCTTCTATCCTACTTAGCAAAGGTCACAGCTGGAAAAGTAGTTGCTGGTTAATTGGATCAAAAAAATCTTGCAAATGTTGTTCTTGCTGGAGACACCCTTGGTTAGGAAATGTGGCATTACTTAAAATATTGTGTCTAACTTGTTATTATACAAAAATAAATACTGGTGTTAACACTAATCAGATTGCATAACATTTGTTTTGTGATACAGCATGCAGTACTTGAAAGACTGGTTTTATGTGTGGCTTAATTCATTTGTGGAACACTGGCTTGACAATTATTTTATATGAAAATATTCTGTAACAGTCCTAAATGTGCTTTCAAGTTATTTGTTGTTGAAAGTGAACATCCTTAATATTGGTAATGTTATGATGTCCTCTGAAGACTTTACTCAAAAGCCTGGTAGACATTGTGGGTCATATTTTTAGACCTCAGTCTTCACTTATGTTCTTGCCCATGCACATCTGTGGGTGGTTGTTTCCTGCCATAGCTTCTGCATGCAGTGGTGCTAGGGTCTAACTTCTGCAGCCATGTGGGCTTTGTGTGTGCAGATTCTGTTACTTGTGTGCACTATTGTTAGCTTTGAAATCATGTGCATGTTCAGGGGAGGGATGTGTTTACTCACATGTGGAGACCAAGAGGAGGTCCCACTAAAAGTCTGTCAACAGATGAACGTTGCCATGAAATAGAGCATGTCTTTTTGAGAAATAGCCAGTTCGTAATCCTAAATACCAGATTGTTTTTATTAGTATAGTTACATAAAGGAGTATGTTGTGTCTGTTCTAGACGATTTTTAAAAATATCAAATATATATGGAGATGCTAGAATACAGTTGACAGCTAATGTTAATAAGGTCGACAGTTGAAAGCGAGAGCTCCAAAGTTTTGAAATCATTGGGATTTTTTGGTTTTCATTTATTTTTAATTTATAACGTTTGAATGAAATAAATTTATAATCTGAACACTACATTCTTCAAAGTTCTTGAGTACTCACAGCTCCCGTTTATGCTGTGCGTGTTGTGTACCTCTGAGAATCACCCAAAACAGGTTTTGCCTCTATTATAAAATATTTTAGTATTTGTTGCCACCATCAGATAGAGCATACATGTAACTAGGTATTTTGCAAGAAACAAGAAAGAGAGGGTTAAATTCTCTTCACTTACGTGAGTGTAGACAATGAAGTTACTTCAGGTTTACACAGATCTGAGTTAGTTGAAATGGGGCTTGCTTCTTCTTAGCACATCTTTTTGCCTAATCTTGAATTTATGACTTAGTCTGTTGGAGTGAAATTAATATACTGTTACAAACACAGGATTATTACTTAACCGCAGAATCAGTTAGTATAAAATACTATATTTAGTGTTAAAATACAGTTTGTACAAAACATGACAGCATCCTGTTTTAACATGCGATGTTCTGGACCACAATGTTAGTATTCGGAAGTATTTTCATAAGAGAAACAAGTTGGACTGTGAGGGAGAGAGAGCTCCGGTTTAAACACAGGTATCTGAAATACTAGTTCAAGAAATACTAGAATGACTGTTAACATTGGATTGTTTCTTGTAGGCTGGATTTTTTTGGTCCACCATATTCACTTTAAGCTGCTTATGGCCCTAGGAGAATTCTCCTTGTGTAGAGGAAATCTCTTCCAATGCAATTGAGCTCCCCTATAGCTGATCTTCTGCTAAGGTTAACTTCATTATGGACTTTATGATGGTGATGGAAGTTAGAGTAGGCACCCAGCTTCTCCGACTTCTCCTGGGGCTGGGTGGCCAAGAATCAGGGAGCTGCAACTGCAGCTGCTATTCTCCACTATGTCTGAGGGGAGAGTCGGGGCCTCATTTTAGGTGAGCCGGTGTGAAAGTTCCTCTCTGTCAGGTTGAGATATAGGTTTAATCAGTACTTTATTTCAAACAGTATTTTGATACTTGTCTTTTGTCTGTTTCGTCTGTCCTAGATCACAAACTCTTTAGGGGAAGAAATGTACATTACCATCTTTCTATAGTACCATGTGTATTTAAGTCTCTAAATAGAGGAACCGATATTAAAAATATTTAATCGTAGCATATTCATATTTCATTCTATTACTCATTTTTTCTTTTCAGCTTGAGAAAGCGCTGTCAAAAAAGCTTGAAGATGTTGAAGGTACAAGTCCCATTCAATACACTATATCACTTGGTTACACCAAATAACATTAATGATTTCTGAGCTTTATTTTTATTTAATTGCCACAGGTGAAATATCAATTTACCAAGATGAAATAGAGAATGAATTAGAAAATAGTAGGCCAAAGGCAAAAGGAGTATTTGCCAATTTGACTAAAGATGGTAAGTCTATAAAAGACCATGAATATTTTAAAAGTAGCAATGGGGGTCAAATCCTACTCATGTTATTTTGTATGATCTTTTATTATGCTATATACGGCTCCATTTCTTTGTTGTGTATTATTTATATATATGCAGCTACATACGTTATGCAGTGAAATGTTGAGTGCAACAAAACATTTAAGTCTTGACTTACACTGGAATTCTCTGAGGAATGGAATGCATAGTGCCAGCCCACAAAATACCATGCTTCAAATATCAGACATCAACTTGAGTAGTACTGGAATTCACCAAAATTGTATACATTTTAAAAAAACACAACTACTGTAATGGCATGAAGGGCTGTAACAAATTACTTCCAAGTGCAATTTAGCAGAGGCGGTGTTGGTACTTCAGGTTGTTCCTGGTTAACATGAAAATTACCCCAAACCATTGGGCATGTACCTTTGTGCCTCTCTGTTCCCACACTGAAGGTATTCACAGTACTGTTTATAGGTTGAATATTAGCCTTAATTATCATTACAAGTATTTAGCTCGTATTACTAAAATTACTTACTTGCAGTATTTTGATAACACAATACAAGCAATTTTAAATTATTACTATTTTCAGAAGACATTTTAAAAGCTAAGGCAATGATTTTAAAGCACATCTGGAAATTCTATATATTTATACAATGTACTGAAATACTCTCTGTTCTTCTGCAGATTGTTTTCTAATGGGTCTTATTCTTTTAAGTGAGCTGCTTTTCATTTATTTAGTTTCTATAACAGATGGTATGAAGTTATTTGATTTTTTCCCCCCACCATTACAGAGTCTATAGAAGATAATACGGCTAGTGTATTTGGAGAGGAGGAGGCAGAAGATGAAGAACTGGAAGCAGCTGCTAATCATTTAAACAAGGACTTTTATAATGAACTTCTCGATAAAGATAGATTAAAGAAAAATGAAGGGAGAGAATGCAAAAATGGAAATGAAACTCCTGTATGGCCACCTGCACTAGAATCTCTGCTTGGCCCACTCCCTACTGCTGCCAGCCTTGGGATAACAGAGTCTATACAAGACTGTATATCCACTAAGGATCGAGACCACAGTAAGTACAAGATTAATGTAAGCTGAAATTTAAAATAGAAAAGTCAGACATATGAAAACTGTTGTGGTTTCACTGTTTAATTTCCAGTTACCTGCATGGTTGCTGACATAGGAATTCTATGAAATGTAAATGTTATAGGAGTGTAAAGACATAGGAATTGACCATCTTGATCAGACCAGTGGTTCAACTGGTCAAATATTTTGTATTTGACACTGGCCAGTACCAGAAGTTGCTCAGAAAGGTTCAGGATTTATATCCCTTAAACTTAGTAAAATAGATTTACCTTGTTATGATAGTTGATATGGATATTTCAAACATTGCAGTCATTATGTTGTTTTACTTGATACTTCCAATTAGCAATGTGTAACAAGTGGATTTTTTTCTTTATAAGTATAATTGGAAATGAAAATCTTAAGTACCCATGTTCTAGATAACTTTTTTTTTTTTATTTCAAAAGAGATGCAACATTTTTCAGGAAATACTTTATTGGAGTCAAACAAGGAGGCTGTCTCCTTTTGCTCTTAGTCAAGAATCAGTCTATTATATTTAATTCATTCTTCAGTGGTTTGTAAAGTTGCAAATGTTCAAGATACTTGGCATACAAAATAGCATATGCTTTTCCCCCCCTTGATATGCGTTTTTGTTAATACCTTGTTTGGCATGTTCCATTCCTTTTTCTCTGATCCCTGAAACCTTTTTATAGCATGGTACTGGAATGGACAGCATTAGCTGCATTGATCAATTGAAAATTTCAATTTTGCATGAGTCACAGAAGGCTACTCCACACAGCCAATGACTCAAGGAGGTGTGTTTGCCTTTTTATATGTAAGCTGAAACTCTGTGGACCTTTTTTTCCCCCCTTCATGAATCTCAGATCTGAACATATTTGGTGAGAACCTCATTCTTTTCTATATTACAGTACATTTTCTGTTCCATAAAGCTTATCTGTCTTTGAATCTGTTTAGTCAGCAGATTCAATGAGAAGATCCAACTAAATGGACTGTGTCTGAATTTAGCTCTTCTAACAATTTGTGAGTTATTCAAGATAGACGATGCTACCCTACTCCACGTCTAGACTGAAGGACCGCACAAAATCAACCTCATACCATGTTACTGCTCATGTCACAGAACTGCAGCTGATCAGTAGCATTATTTATTTTCCTATATTATGCACAAGCTAAATGATGCAGAAAAAATTGATTGTTTAATTAAAATTAATGGTGGGAGGAATAGATGGCTCATACTATTGGGATATGCATCATTTCACCTCAAAATCAATGGTTCAGCTGTAACAGAGGTCAGTAGTAGCTGAAAATTGTTGCTGTCTGACGGTTGTTCAATGACCTCTGAAAAACAAGTTGGTGGTTTCAGTCCAGTTCCCAGTGAACATGTCCGTGTAATGAAAACTCAATTGGCACCGTCATTGGCCATTTTAATGGAGGGTCCAAGGACTGAATGAATTTAAAGATGGAACTAATCTGTCACTCCCAGATATGTTCCTCCAAGTCGGGCTTGAGGTTTGTGGGCAAAGAAATGTATGTCAGCTTAGTCTGTGATTGCCTGTGTTGTACCAGTTCTGTGGAAAAATAGAGGTCTTTGGTGGTCTCGGGGGCTGCCAGATTGATTTAATTATTACAAATGATCAGCTGGGTTTTTATTTTTAAAAAATATCCCTCTGGAAAATCCCAACTTCATTGTGATGGGGATTCAAATTCCTTTATGTCGTATACCCAGAATGAACTAAAAGATTAAATTTAGCAGCAGGTTATTGTTTTGGTTGTAGCCTTTAGTCCTTCCCAAAGCTGATTCTTTTGGGTTGCAGGTGCCATATGTAAATTTCTAGCTTCATGGGAAGGATATCTCCCCTCCTCCTCACCCCAATTACCTTCCTTCTCCAAAAATCTCTGGTGTAGGTCCCCTTAAAGTCCTTTTACTTGGCTTTTGCATGTGATATGTCAACTTATGATTGTGTCTGTTTCAGCTGTTTGAGGAAATCTCTCACCTAGCACTATCACTGATGCAACAGCAGTAGAAGACTCCCCAGAAACTGCTATTATAGACCAGACTTAAATGCAATGCTTAGATATTGAAGGACATTTAGGGTTATTCCCCAAGCTGCAATTGTCAATGCAATATGTGTTTGACTTTTTTATGGAAAGCACAGTATTTGAGTGAATTTGCATCACAAAGAGAGCACACTAGGGTACTGCATTAATGCAGTTACAAGGCAGTATAAGGTTCAGTAGAAGCAATACATTAGATTGTATTGTCTCTAAAAATACTTTAATTAGGAGGGACGTTTCAGTCGGGTTTCTTTTTGAGTGTTTACAGTTGCTTCTATCTTGTTTTTTTTTTTACTATACAAGAGATTAATCATAGAATCCTGCCCAAGGCTGATTCTTTTGCTTTGGATATGGCAATTTTAATTATTTTAAAAGTTTCTTAGGAAACCAGATTCTCTTTGTTGAATATCTTATCATTAGCAATGAAGTACATGCTCCTGCGTACTAAATGAAAACATGAATTTACCCAGGATGAGGCTTTGTGTAGAACTTGTTTGTATATTTTAGTGAAACATTTATAATTTGTAAAAGGAAGGGGATACTATATTCTGTGAATGCTGATCATGCTGTTCTATACCGTAAAGACGAGTTTACTGCAGAACTCATGACCACTGAAGTCCTGAGTGAATTGTGTTGTATCATAGCTGTATCCAACAGATGCTGGAAATGGAGAAGATCTAGTAGGTCAGCCAGTACATTTCTCTGCCAAGGCAGGATTTTCACTTGCAACATATTTTCTAGACTTTTGTTCATTCTAGTTTTACATGTCCCAAATAATAGGGCTTCCACTATTCTCCGGGAGATTGTCATAGTCAAATACCAAAGACTTTATTCTCAAAGCATTTTTTCTGGTATTCTATATAAAATTTCTCTTTGTAATTTATTTTCCATTACTTCTATTTACACCCCTTTGTACCACCCTAAATAACTCCTCATCTTCCTTAGTATTTACAGCCTTCATACATTTGTAGGCTATTATCCTGTCCTCCCGTTGTTGTCATTTAGCACAAGTTGTGCTTGTCTCAAAATATATTGGCCAAGATGGAAAGTGAGAGAGGATGGAATCTAACTGAGGTAGAGGTAGAGGGAAAATGCAGGGCTTAAGTTGTATGCCAAATTCATACAAATTATCTTTAGTATGCTAGTTGGTATATAGTATATAGCATATCTTTGGTATGCTAGTTGATATATAGTAAATTCATGTGCAGTCATTGTAGGGCTACATTAGCAAACAGTGTAGTGTGAGCAGGTGGTAACGTGCAGCTGCACCTCCTCATAAAAGTAAACATCTTTTATAATCAAAAATAACTTTTGCAAGTACCATCTTGTGCCTACCCTAGTGAAGTGACTGTAAAGTACAGATTAAAAAAAAAAATCCATGGCAAAGTTTTTGTGCTTCCTGTTACTGACATCCAATTGTTTGCTCATTTACATACATTTCTCTTATATTTGTGCTTTCATTTGTACTGTGGATCTCATCCAGTACCCACTGAAGTCAGAGAATCTTTCCATTGACATCAGTGGGTATTGAATAAGGCCCTGTGTAAACAGCTTTCCCAAACAATGGCCTTTGTAACAAAAAAAAGAACTAATATTAACTCTATTTTGTTTTTCTTCTTCTTTTGTCATCTTTTTGTCTGTCTCTTACATTTTGTATAAACGTCATACAAAAGAAACTCTCTAACGACTTAAAAATTAATAGATTAGTAATTCAAGGGAATGAAACATTAAAAACATTGGGTTTGTTTAGTCTGGAGAAAAGAAGACTGAGAGGGGACATAACAATCTTTTATGTACCTGAAAACTGTTACAGGGAGGAGCTAGAAAAATTGTTCTCCTTAACCATTGAGGATAGGACAAGAAGCAATGGGTTTAAATTGCAGCAAGGGCGGTTTAGGTTGGACATTAGGAAAAACTTCCTAACTGTCAGGGTGATTAAGCATTGGAATAAATTGCCTAGGGAGGCTGTAGATTCTTCATTTTTGGAGATTTTTAGGAGCAGGTTAGACAAACACATGTCAGGGATGGTCTAGATCAGTGGTACTCAACCCGTGACCCAATTAGCACACAGTTGTGGCCCAGCTTTATGCTAAAGGTTGCTGGGCCTGTGGAGTCGGGAGTGTGGGCTGCCCCACCTGCCCTGCCCTGTACAGTGGAGTTCGCGCTCGGGGCCGCCCTGCCCCACGCAGCGGGGTCCGGGCTCAGGGCTGTGCTGCCCTGCTGCCAGGCTGTACCTGACAGGTCCAGGGTTTGGGCTGCTGTATGGCGGGGTCAGGGTAGGGGCTGCGACTCCATGCCAGCTCCCCATAGCTGCCTGCAGAGCTCTTCCTGACCTGGTTCTGGCGGGGGTGGGCAGGCCCGGCCTTGGAGCCGCAACCTGGCCACAGTAGAAGCTGCACGGGAAGCTGTGAGGAGTCATGGGCCTTCCACCTGCCACAGGTGGGTGGGGACATGGGCCAGGGGCTGCTTGGCCCCCCCCACACCGCGGGCAGGTAGAGGGTCTGCTGCGGCTCCCCAGAGCTGCCCACCTGGCTCTTATCATGGCAGGGCTGCGGCTCCGAGGTGCTTCCTCCCCCCCAGCTGGAGCTGGGTCGGGGAGAGCTGCACTCGCAGCTGTGGGGAGCCTGGATCCCTCCACCTGCCCTGGGCTGGGGACCTGGGGCACAGAATACGGCAGGGGGGACCTGGGATATGGGCAGGGGGCTGCTTTTGCCTCCACCTTGGGCGCCCCCCCCACTTTTGGGAGGACTCCGGTGCCCTTGCCTCAGGCTGAGGCTACTGGTGGCCGGCCTGCAGTCAGGGACTCTGGGCAGCTGGAACCGGTGCTCGCACAGGCGGCTGGAGCTGGTGTTCGTGCCGCCCACCCACCCGATGCTCCGGGGCTGTGGGTTGTGCTGCCTGCCCACCCACCGCACTGGGGCCTGCGTTCAGCTGACT